TTAATTTTAGATATATTATTAGTTTAAGATATTAAATATTAAAAAAAAATTATTTTTTTTTACTTTTTTTATAAATTTAATATAATATAAATTTATTAAAAAAATTCGAGGCAAATTTGCCTCAAATTTATATACAGACTAAGGGATATGAATTATTATAAAAAGAGCTAATACAAGTAGAATATATATATTTTATTGATATTGCTAATTAAAAATTCATATATAATATTATTATTTTTGAAAAAATAAATGCTCTTAAAGTGTTTTAAGGAAACATTACACCAGTACAATTTACATTTCTTTTAAGAAATAGTATATGTTCAAATAAATCAGTATTTAAACAAGCTCACTTAGCAGTCATAATATTTTCTGCATCACTAAAGAGTCATTTGCTAGCTATGGATATAGCTAGAATATATAAATATTTTTAAACTATTTTGCTCAATATAGGAAAATTTAATTGCTGCCTGTTCTACTATTTTAAAGGACAAAGAGTACTTAGAATTTTTGACAATGCAAGATAAGTTTGAATTTCATTATTAATGTTAGATTCTTGAATAGATTCATAACAAGACATTTTTTTCTTCTTCAAGGTTATTCATTTGTACTGTATTTGTTAGTATTGATTCTTGCTCTTTAAATACTTTATACTCAGCTACTAAATATACTTCAGCCTCAAGTCTTTGAGAATAAGTCACAAATTCTATTTTTTTTATTTCTAGAATTAAGAAGTATTGCAAGAAGAGCTTTACGAATTGAATATTCCTAATAGTAATTTAAAGCATTAAATAATGTGATTTTTATATTTTCAATTATACTATTACAGACTTGTAAAATATTAATTTTAGTTTGATTAATTTTTGTTTTGAATTTAGTATTAAGTACTTCAGGTTCATCTATGAGATTAATTTCTTCTTGAAATTCTTGATTATCATCAAAAACTGTATTAGAATTATTGAGATTTATATTAATTTGAGCATCATATGTAATATTAAGCAATTTTTTAAGAGATAATATAGCAGAAAACATATATGATATTGTAGTATATTTGCTTCTACTAAGCATCTTTGTAGCATTAGCAAAAGATTATAAAATTTTAACTAAATCTTTTATTAATTGCTATTCCTTAGGTGTTAGCATAATTCATTTAAGACACCTTGCATCTTTTTTAACTATAGAGTCTTTGCTATAACTCATTGTTAATTGTATTACTTTGATTGCTAGTTTTAATTTTAAAATTCTTACCTATGCTATATACATAGAGTCCTACCTTGTTACAACATCTATTATAACTTTAAAATATTCATGATTATTGTTAATATTATTGCATACTTTACAGTTTAAAGAAATTTGTACTATTTCAAGCTGTTCGCTTTATTTAGAAGATGTAAAAAATTTGGGAAACTAATATTAGATAACTCCTAAGTATCAATTGATGACATACTTCATCAATAATTCAAGGATAATGTTAAATATAAAGAGCAAGTCAACAGTATGGTGGCTGAATTTCTTATATCTAATTCACAACCATTTTCTGTTTTAGAAAATCTAGCATTCAAAAAACTTTTAAAAAAACTTAATCCATATTATGAAATACCTTGTGACAAAGGTATTAAAGCTCAAATTTGTATATCTTATAATTGGATGTTGGTCACTCTTCAAGATATATTAAAGAATTCAATAAATTATTGTAAGTTAACAATAGACTTATAGACTTCTCACAGTAATAGTAGATATCTCGAAATCACATGATCATGAATCAATTCTTGTTTTAAATCACTTTGGCTATTCATGAAATAAAACACCTACATACTGAATATATAATCACTTCTTTATTAAAATCTATTATCTAATATTGGAACTTAAATACAAAATATTTTATGATAACAACTGATAATATCAAAAATATGAAAAAGGCTGTTATAGAAATTGAAGAAGTTAATTGTCTTTCATGTTATGCACACACTTTACAACTAGTCATAGGAAAAGGGCTATTATTAGTTAAAGTTTTAGTTATACAAGCAAAATAGTTAATACAATTTTTTATATCTCCTAAACAAAGTGAATAGCTTGAAATAGCACAAATTTCTTTAAACTGTGAAGTGTGCAATAATATTAATAATAATTATAAATATCTTAAAGTTATAATAGATATTACAACAAGATAGGACTCTATGTATATAGCATGAGTGAGAATTTTAAAATTAAAACCAGCAATTGAAGTAATACAATTAATAATAAGTTATAGCAAAGATTCTATAGTTAAAAAAGATGCAAGGTATCTTAAATGAATTATGCTAACACCTGAGAAATAGCAATTAATGAAAGATTTAGTTAAAATTTTATAACCTTTTACTGATGCTATGAAGATGTTTAGTAGAAGCAAATATACTATAATGTTATATATGTTTCCTGCTATATTATCTTTTAAAAATTACTTAAAATTACATATGATGCTCAAATTAATATAAATCTCGATGATTCTAATACAGTTTTTGATGATAATTAAGAATTTCAAGAAGAAATTAATCTCATTAATGAACCTGAAGTACTTAATACTGAATTCGAAACAAAAATTAATCAAACAAAAATTAATATTCCACAAGTCTATAATAGTATAGTTGAAAATATAAAAAATCATATTATTTAATACTTTAAATTACTATTAGGAATATCTAATTTATGAAGCTTTTCTTGCAATACTCCTTGATCCTAGAAAAAAAAAATAGAATTTGTGATTTATTCCTAAAGACTTGAGGCTAAAGTATATTTAGTGACTGAGTATGAAGTATTTAAAGAGCAAGAATTAATACTGACAAATACAGTACAAATGGATAACTTTGAAGAGGAAGAAAATATCTTATTAGCTGTTATATATAAACCTATTCAAGAATCTAACATTAATAATGAAATTCAAACTTATTTTATATTGCAAAAAATTCTAAGTACTCTTTGTCTTTTAAAATAGTAAAACAGGCAGCAATTAAATTTTTCTATATTGAGCAAAATAGCTCAAAAATATTTATATATTCCAGCTAGATCTATAGTCAGTGAATAACTTTTTAGTGATGCAGAAAATATTATGACTGCTAAGTGAGCTTGTTTAAATACTGTTTTATTTAAATACATGCTATTTCTTAAAAGAAATATAAATTGCACTAGTGTAATGTTTCTTTAAAATACTTTAAAAGCATTTATTTTTCAAAAATAATGATGTTATATATAAATTTTTAATTAGCAATATCAATAAAATATATACATTTTACTTGTATTAGCTCTTTTTATAATAATTCATATAATAAAATTTTGTTATTTAATGCTTTTACTATAATCTATATATTGACATTATAATAAACTTATTAAAAAAATTTTACTATTAGTTATTCATTATAAAAGTCTGCTATATGGTATATTAGTTTGGTTATACATAAAAGAGTATAGAGTTAACTATATGTTAATTCAACAGATTTAGTCAGTTAGTTTATAGCAGATATCTGAAAATTGTATTTATCTAGTAAATAGGCAAAATGAATAGTTGGATATCCACTAGATCCAAGCTCTAGATACAAAAGATATTCTTAAAAGAATTCTAATATCAGTATTTATAAAATTAGTATAAAGCTCAATGAATAGCATCAAATAGTAGATATAACTTAAGAAAATGAAAATATCATCCTAAGAGTATCTATTTTAATATATATAGAGATAAGAGATTTAGTAAATACTCCTAAAACTAAACAAGAAGTTAGAGTAGAAATTATAGCAGCAATTCTTGAAAAAGCAATTATAAAAAAAAATATAAGAGATTATATGATTAAAGAAAATTTAATAGAATTAAATAGTAAGTAGTTTAAGTATCACTCTCTCTGCAGATCATCTGACTATTTTTAGAACAGAACAAAAAACAGAAAAAAGTCAAAAACAAGACTAGAAAACACTAATAGAAATACTAATTAAAAAGAAAGAAGACAAAAAGTTACAGATAGTACAAAAAGAAGAAAGGAAAAATAATATTTTTCTAAAGAGTAATAGAAGAAATAAAGAATTTTAAAAGAATTTCGAAAAAATTTCTTAGAAAAATTAGGAATTATTGTTATCCTGAATCACAGATCAGTTTGTGTAATACAACAAATAAACAGATAGATAAACAAACAAACATGTGACTAATATTAATAGAATATAACATGTGACCAAAATTAGAAAAGAACTATACAAGACCAAAACTAAAAATTTTAAAAGTAAATAGGAAATTTTATAGGGAATTTAAAGAAAAAGATAAAGTCATTATGACAAAAGTTAAATTTAGAAGATGTGAAATAAAGATAACTTAATAAGAATAGTTAAAGAAATAACCAAAGAGTATAGAAGAAAAATCCTTGATAGAAATAGTAAATTAGTAAAAGGATTTGAGAGCTATATCAATAAGATGATAAGTAGTTAGTAGTTTTCTAGAAACTACTAACTACTTAGATTATACTATAACATATTCAGATATGATATGTAGATTGCAAAACTCAAGTCATTCAAATGATGTATAAATTATAAAACTCAAAACACTCGACCACCTGAGTATATTATAGTTCACATATCAGATACTATATAGGTTATAGTTGTATTGCTATTTGAGAACCACTGTGGCATGTATCAAGTAACATATGTTTTGCATTTTAGGCCCTACTTGAGTGACATGTATTTTACTTTTTATGATATACACCAAGGTGGCATATTCCATATATTTAACTACATAGGAGAGTCTGATATGAGGGCTATGCCTGAACCTAGCATATAGTGTCATAGTTAACATGGCCAATTTCATATATGTAATTTATTATATCGATCATAGTCTGCTGATATCTGCGTGATTTTTATATCGATCATAATCTATAGATGAGTAGGTAATAGGTTGGCTTATCATGAGTTTGATAGGCCAGTTTTTTCTAATGATAACCTTTACCTGTATTGATTTTATTAAGAAATGCTATCAAATCAATTTTACCTATGTTATATATTTTTACCTACTCTGAGATATATCCAGAAATATATTGATTTCACTTATGTTTGAGATGTATTATAATAAAGTATACTGGTTTTGGTTGCTAAAATTTTGTCACAAGTTGTTACTAGTTAGTCTTTAGTAGTGAGATATATGTTTACTTACCTTGACCTATTAAAGTATGCTGATTTTTTGTCACAAGTTGTTACTAGATATTACTAGTTGTTTGTAAGTACTTGTGACAGAACTTGTGACACCTGTTTGAGAGTTTTGAGCTACTTTATTTCTTTCTTGATTACTTATTTATATCTGTCACAAGTTACTTAAGTAAAATAGTAGAATTCTAGGGAAAAAATAAAACTCTTTCCTATAGTATACTTCTGATATATACCTAATACATATACTTAATACATATACCCTGATACATATACTTGATACATATACTTGATACATATACTCGATATACAAATATGATATACTTGATATCTATATAGTATACGTACCTTTGATATATATTATCCATATAGTATATGTACCTTTGATATATGCTATATATATATGGTATACTTATAGAAAAAAAATAAAAAAAAGTGGACTTAGCAAATCAACCTAAGAAACCTGTAACATCTACAAATAATCTATAAATGAGGAATCAAGTTACAAGCATTAAAAAAAAAAAAATAAAAAAAAGGTTTGTGTTTTGTTATTAGCTTTTGTAATTCTCATAGCTACATACTTATCCGAATTTACTAGAGTGCCCAAACGCAAGTGCTAAACATTAAAAAAAAAAAGCATATATTTTGTTTATTAGCTTTCGTAGTCCTTTTAGTTTTCATAATCATGGAATTTATCTTGAGCTCATTATTACAGATAGCTTGTACTTGAAGAATCAAGTGACAAGCATTAAAAAAAAAAAAAAAATGAGGCTTGCATTTTATTATTAGCTTTTATAATTCTTTTAGTTTTCATGGCTGCATATTTATTAGAGTGCCCGAATGCAAGTTCTTTTAGTTTCATAGGAGGATAACTTATCTTAAGCAGAAAGCCTGTACATGAGATTAGTCTTCGTGTTGAAGCTTGGACCAATTTTATTTTTCATATGTTAAATCTGGTTTTAATTGGTTTTAACACATGAAAAATAAAACCATTTCCAAACTCTATTCATGGTTCTTTTAGTTTTCATAACACTATCTTATTACAAGCATTTTCTTGAGGGGGTTTTTTTTTTTTTTTATAATTTTCAGAATAGTGTGCTTACATGAATGCAATGAAAAAATCTGAATGTGAGGTTTAAGAAAAAGCATATATTTTAAGCAATTTTTGTTCTTTTTTTATTGAATATATTTATAAATTTGTAAAATTTTAAAACAAAAAAAAAAGAAAATTATTTCTTACATACTGTATAAAAGAGAAAATTAAAAAAAAAAAAAAAAACATTCAAAGAAAAAACATATATATAATTTTTTTTTTTTTTTTTTTTTTTTTAAAAACAAAAAAAAAAATTATGATTTTAAAACTTTAATCCATTTTATTGGAACGGGTATATCTTTTCTATTAATTTCGACGATAGCTGTATGATTATTTGCTGTTAGCTTTTTAAAAACACCTTGTTGTAAAAATGTCAGTTGTAATTTTCTTTTTCAGGTTTGCAGATTATTGTTATGATCTAGTGTGACGTTAACTATAGTTCCTAATTCGATTGTATTATTTTTTATTTTTTTTCTATGAACACTTCCTTATTGACAAAGTTTTGTGTAATATTTTTCTAGTACAGAATTTACAGACTAATAAAAAATAAAATAAAAATTTCAATTTATACTACTTAACTTTATACTTTCTAGCCCTAAACTGGGTCTCTATCATTTTTTCAACAACTATTTTCCTGACAAATAAAATCCCAAAATTGACCGAAACTAACTTTAACTCTAACCTAACCTAATGCAAGTTAACATAACCCAGCCTTAACTCTAACTCTAACTCTAACCTAATACAAGCTAACTTGTAACATTGTCAGAAAGTATTGTCAGAAAAATGATAGAATCTGCTCTAAACTAACCTCTTGAATTTGCATTACATGTAATACATGTTGATCTACAACTATTTCTGCTTCTTCTGCTTCCTTTGTTTTTTCTGCTTCCTCTGCTTCCTTTGCTTCCTCTGCTTCAGCTTCATCTGCCTCATCTGCTTCAGCTTCATCTGCCTTATCTGCTTCTAAAATATCTACATTTATTTCCAGAGAATTTGCATCTATTTCATTATCTTGATTAGTATCAGGTGTTTTATAAATATAGTACATTTTCTAGCCAAACATAACTTCATAAGATGTACGTTTATGTGCCGTATGTATAGTCGAATTATAAGACATTACAAAAGCATCTAATACATCAACCCAATTTTTTTTTTGAAGTTGATTATTCCTATCTCACAGCAATTTCATAAAACCGCGGCCAATAGTTTGGTTAAGTCATTCTACTTGTCCTTGAGACTGGAGTGCCTAAGGTGGCTGTGTTTAATTTTTATATTAAGGGTTTTACAAACTTGCTTAATGATTCCTTCAAACTCTTTTCTATTATCACTTTGAAGAATCGCAAGTGGGCCAAGAACTCTAAAAATATCTTTAACCAGATGTGCAGCAACTGTATCTGCTTCTTTATTTTTTATAGGAATCGTGATAAGAAATTTTGAAAATGTACAAACACATGTAAGTAACCACACAAATCCATAATTAATATTTGTAAAATCATGAAAATCAATTAAATCAATTTGTATGTGCTGCCATAGTGCCACAAAGATAACCAATTTTATATCAGTTTTTTCTTTAATAGAAGAGTTTATAGCACAAACTGAACATTCATTAATATAAGCCTGAACCTCAGTTTGTGTTATCCTAATATGTTTTTCAGAAAGAGCAGAAAAAGTTTTATAATAACTTCTATGATTAGATTGGTCGTGAAAATTTTTTAACAATAAGTCACATAGCTCTACATCATATTTTAATACTACATGATGTTTATCAGATATTATTTCGCCATCTTTAACAATAGCAGAAAAGTAAAGAATTTCATTTTCATCTAACTCAAATTTGTTGTAATGATATTCAAATTTACATTTCACCACTTAACCATGGATAGTTTCAGGTATTTTTTTTGATTAGAGGTACTCGACAATATCTTTATATTCAGTTAGAGTTCTAGGAAGTTTTGGAATTGCTGGTATAATTAAGTTCGAAAAGAAAAATTAACAGGAAATAAAATTATTTATAGGTAATCAACATGTATAAACCAAATAAACAAATCACATATCACAATGTTGTCACGTGATTAATAGTTAAAAATAGTACATGCAAGCCAAATAAACAAATCACATAATATGATTAGAGTTATCATGTATAAACCAAATAAACAAATCACATAACATAGTTAGAGTTATCACGTGTAAACCAAATAAACAAATCACATAATACGGTTAGGGTTATTACGTGTAAACCAAATAAACAAATCACTAATGTTAGGGTTAGAGTTAGAGTTGGCATATCTGCTAGTTAGAGTTAGGGTTGGGTTAGAGTAAGGTAGAATATAGTTTTCAAATTTATTTTTGTTCCTTATAACAACTAAAATGCAATCCTGTAGCACCTTTTTAACACATTCAGAATATAAACTACTAATCTTATTTTACTTAATTTCACAGATTTGAACACTGTAATTATAGAATTAAGTACAAAATTAAGAAAACGAATCATAAAAATTAATCTATGAAAACTAAGAGAACTATGAAAGCTAATAATCAAAACACAAATCTTTTTTTTTTTTTTTTTTTTTTTTAATACTTAGCACTTGAATTCTTCACGTATAGACTATCTGTAGTAATAAGCTCAAGATAAGTTACATTATTATGAAAACTAAAAGAACTACAAAAGCTAATAGTCAAATACATACTTCTTTTTTTAATGCTCAACACTTGTATTCAGGTATTTTAATAAATTTAGGTAGTATGCAGCTATAAAAACTAAATGAACTACAAACCATGAAAACTAATAATCAAAACAAAAACCTTTTTTTAATGTGAATCCTTCATGTACAGGCTATCTGTAGCAATAAGCTCAAAATAAGTTATACGATAATAAAACTAAAAGAACTACGAAAGCTAATAGTCAAAATACATGCTTTTTTTTTTTTTTAATGCTTAGCATTTGCATTTGAGCACTCTGTAATAAATTCAGATAAGTATACAGCTATGAAAACTAAAAGAACCATGAAAGCTAATAATTAAAACAAACCTTTTTTTTTTAATGCTTAGCACTTGAATTCATCACTTAAAGGCTATCTGTTGTAATGTGCTCAAGATAAGTTATACGATTATGATAACTAAAGGACCACGAAAGCTAATATTCAAAGTACATACTGGTACTTCTTTTTTAATACTTGGCACTTGCATTCGAGCACTCTGTAATAAATTCAGGTGAGTATGCAGCTATGAAAACTAAACAAACTACGAAAGCTAATAATCAAAATGCAAACCTTTTTTTTTTTAATTTGATTTCTCACATACAGGTTTTTGACAGTAATAAGCTCAAAACAAGTTACATGGTTATAAAAACTAAAAGAACCATAAAAGCTAATAGTCTTGCAGACAAGAAAAGCGAAAAAGTGTAAAAATAGAGAATAAAGTTGAAGACGAAGGCTATTATAGTGAAGATGAGAAATTAACTGCCTAGAAGGCATTTTTAAGGAAGAGGACTGAGTATTAAAAAAAAAATACTTTTTTTATACTTGGCACTCTGTAATAAATTCATATAAATATACGGTTATGAAAACTAAAAGAAATACAAAAACTAATAATAAGACTACAAACCTTTTTGTTTTTTTTTTTTTTTAATGCTTAGCACTTGAATTCCTTACATACAGGCTATCTGTAGTAATAAGTTCAAGATAAGTTACATAGTTAAGAAAACTAAAAGAACCATAAAAGCTAATAATCAAAATACATACTTTTTTTAATACTTAGCACTTGGACGCTCTGTAATAAATTCAGGTAAATATGCTGCTGTGAAAACTAAAGAACTACAATGGCTAATAATCAAAATGCAAACCTTTTTTTTTTTTTTTAATGCTTTTCACTTGAATTCTTCACATACAGGAATAAGTTTAAGAAACACAGTTATGAAAACTAAAAAAACCACAAAAGCTAATAGTCAAAAGAAATATAAATTCAGATAAGTATGTGGCTATGAAAACTAAAGAAATCATAAAAGCTAATAATCAAAACACAAACTTTTTTTTTTTAATGCTTGTTGCTTAATTCCCTATGTACAAGCTTTCGACAGTAATATGCTCATTAATGCTTGGCATTTGCATTCGAGCACTCTGTAATAAATTCAGGTAAGTATGCAGTTATGAAAACTAAAAGATCCATGAACGCTAATAACTAACATAGCCCTTTTTTTTTTTTTTTTTTATGCTTATCTCTTGAATTTCTTATGTACAGGCTTTCTGTAGCAATATAAAACTAAAGAACTACGGCCAGATTACTGATCTTTTTTTATTTTATTGGCATTTGAATTTTTTTCGTTCTCAATATAAGTACTTAAATATAAACAACTACTACCTTTTTTTTCCTTCAACTTCACACATTACAAAATCCAAAAAATAAGCTTTTTTTTTTAGAAGCCGATAGCCCTAATTTTTTGCTTTTTATTGAACATTCGAAAAAAACAATTGCTAATAAAAAAGATCAGTAGAACTAGTGGTTCTTTTAGATCTTACAAATAATAAAATCTAAAAGAACTACAAGACTACTATCTTCTTTAAAAGTGGGAGACGAGTTGTTATCTGTAGCTTGGATATCAAATGTCCTAAATAGATTAATGACACACCTCATTTAACAAAAGTATACACATGACATACCTCATTTGACATATGTCTGACGCACCCTGTTTACTCCGTTCAGCAAATACAGATGATTGTCAATTATCATGTGATTTCTAGCTTCAGCCATTTCCAGCTTCAGCCGCAACAAAAATTACCAACTGAATTTTATGGTGTCATTTTAGCCTTAAAAAATCAAAAAAAAACCATTAAAAAAAATTACTATGAA